ACTGAGCCACCCAGGTGTCACTGCTTTGTTTGTCTTAAAGAGAGAATTTGGAGTGTAAGGTAGGGGGGGAGGAACTAGTGAGGGATGCAGGACAGAGAAGCAAGGGGATGAAAATATATAAAAGACCAGTTCAGAGTCGGGGAGGATGGGTTTAAAGGTGCCATTATTCATACAATAGCAATTGTAGAAGAGGCCAGAGGTAATGGTAGAGTAGCAATACTTAAAGAAATAACTGCTGAGGATTTTCTAGAATTGAAGACAGACTTATATCCAATTTATCTAACAGGGTAAGTAAAATCAAATCTAAACCCTGGCACATCATAGTAAAAGTGTAGAACATCACTGATAAGAACATGTTAAAACCTCCCCATCCCCAGAAAATAAGCCAGGTTATCTGTAAGAGAAACCACATTTAGATCAGAGGTCTCATTAGCATAAAAAATGGCCAGAAGGGGGTGCCTGGGTGGCTCAGCTGGTTAAGCGACTGCCTTCAGCTCAGGTCATGATCCTGGAGTCCCGGGACCGAGTCCCACATCGGGCTCCCTGCTCAGCAGGGAGTCTGCTTCTCCCTCTGATCCTCCCCCCTCTCACGCTCTCTCTCTCTCTCTCATTCTCTCTCTTTCAATTAAATAAATAAAACCTTTAAAAAAATGGCCAGAAGGGATGTAGGAGAAACAATGGCTTCACCTAAGATTTTATACCCACCGCAGAGAGAGGGCAAAATAAAGACAAATCTAAAAGGAATAGGCTTACTACCTGAGGCTCTTATAAGAGAACCACAAAAGGATGCCCCTCTGCAAGAAAAAAATGGGGGGAGCGCCATAAAAGGTTTGACCCCAAAGAAATGATACTGGACACAAAAAATGATAAAATAAGCCATTAAGTATGATTTACTATCTACTGATAAGAAAACAACTAATTACCGCCTGCTTAAGAAAAAGGGGAGGGGCGCCTGGGTGGCTCAGGCGGTTAAACGTCTTGTGCGTCTTGTGTGCTGAGACTCCTGATCTCAGCTCAGATTTTTTTTTTAAAGATTTTATTTATTTATTTGTCAGAGAAAGAGAGAGAGAGAGAGAGAACGGTAGGCAGAGGGAGAAGCAGACTCCATGCTGAGCAAGGAGTCCAATGCGGGACTCGATCCCAGGACCCTGGGATCATGACCCGAGTCAAAGGCAGATGCTTAACCAACTGAGCCACCCAGGCGTCCCTCAGCTCAGATCTTGATCTCAGGGTGGAGTTTGAACCCTGTGGGCTCCCCGCTGGGCAAGGAGCCTACTTTTTAAAAAAAAGAAAAAGAAAAAGGGGAAATGAAAACTTTAAACTCAATGACAGGATTGTTGATAGAGGTGATAGAGGAAAAGCATTTGAGGTTATCATCATGGGTGGGACATTCAAATTACTAAACAACTATCAACACTGCTAAGAAAATATATAGTTAAATAATACATTTATTTTTTTTAAAGATTTTATTTATTTATTTATTTGAGAGAGAGAGAGAGAGAGAAACAGCATGAGAGGGGAGAGGGTCAGAGGGAGAAGCAGGCTCCCCGCTGAGCCGGGAGCCAGATGTGGGACTCGATCCCAGGACTCTGGGACCATGACCTGAGCCGAAGGCAGTTGCTTAACCAACTGAGCCACCCAGGCACCCTATGGTTAAAATAATATCTTCAAAATTTAAAGGTACCCAGAAAAGAAACCCAAAACAACAACAACAACAACAGGAAATGCATGATGTTGCTTCCAAATCAGCAGAGGGAAAATGCAAAATTAAAAGACTTAACATGTGCTGCTACAGTTTCAGTTTTTAAAAAATAGAGAGTAAATTTTTAGTACCTCAGATTGCCAATCCTAACAATCTGTCAAATTAAAGAAATGATTATTAAATATACACTTTATAAGCACTTAAAAAAATGGAAGTGGTGTGACCATGTGGGATTACCAGGAAGTGACTGAGAAAAAGTTTTACCAATGTAGCTTTACGCTTTGCCCTCTTTTTTGGTTTGGTTCAATTTTTTTACATGTCTATTAATTGAAACAAAAAGTGAGAAGATACAGAAAAAAAAAGAAGAAAAAATCTTATCTCCTACTGTGAACATGTGTGTGTGTGTGTGTATAAGTGTGTATGTTGTGGCTCAGGCAGGCTGCTAGGTTAGCAGACGAAGCAAGGGACAAATCCGAGATGCACTGAAAAGAAATGGACTCGGGAGACTGGAGATGGCAGAGGGGTGGCCAGGTGTCTAGATTTTGACATCCAATAACCTGAATTTGCATCCTGGATCTGCTACTAACTAGCTGTCAAAAGTTACTATGGCCAAGTGACTCCAATTTCACTTCCTACTCTCAAATGCCTCGTGAGGACACAGCGAAGCCTGTTTGTCAGTCTTATCTACTGTCCCTCTCAGCTTTAAAATTCTATGAATCTTTTAAAAAATTACATGAACTGAAACAAAATCTTAAAGCATATGCTTGTTAAGTTTCCAGATGAGGCAAAACTGGAAAAGTAACAGAGTAAAGAGTTAAAAAGAATCTAGACTGTGTCACTGTAGGTTGAAATCACTATCATGAAATTTGACAGGAAGAAGCAAAGACCTGTATATAGATTAACAAAAGATCTGCAGGGGCACCTGGCTGGCTCAGTTGGTAAAGCATGTGACTCTTGATCCTTGATCTCGGGGTCATGAGCTCAAGCCCCAGCTTGAGTGTAGAGATTACTTAAGAGGAAAAAAAGAAAAAAAAAAAGATCTGCACAAATACGGAACGGAGAGGACATGGCATGACAATGAGTCATTTGAAAAAGAGCCAGATATTTTAACATCTGTTTCTGGAGCCAATGATATGATGGGGTTATTAGACTAATTAATGAACTCTTAGGCTAGAGTAGCAGAAGCAGTGTTTGTGGTCAGAGAGGAATAAATCACACTAGTAAGTACAAGTCAGATTACATGTAGAATATTCTATTCCATTCTGGAAGAGTCTGACAAATTGGAATGCATCTAATGAAGGGAGTCCAGAACTAGAAAGCATCCAGAAACCATATGACATCAGGGCACTGGGGAAGTTTTTTCTGGAGTAGAAAGACCCAGAAAAAATGATAGCCGTGGGGCACTTGGGTGGCTCAGTCGTTAAGCATCTGCCTTCGGCTCAGGTCATGATCCCAGGGTCCTGGGATCGAGCCCTGCATCGGGCTCCGTGCTCAGTGGGAAGCCTGCTTCTCCCTCTCCCACTCCCCTGCTTGTGTTCCCTCTCTTGCTGTCTCTGTCAAATAAATAAATAAAATCTTTTTTAAAAAAAAAAGTGATAGCCGCCTCCTAGTATTTGAATGCTCTTGACAGCTGATCCAGGTCTAGTGGTAGAGGTGTTAAGAAGCAGTGTTGGGTGCTATCTTCAAACAGAAGTTGTAGGGCTATCGGTGAAGGAAAGAAGAGAAGGCTCTTTGTATTGGGAGGGAAGTTAAGACCTGGTAAGCCCTATCCCAGAAGCCCTTTCCAGGTCTAAGGCATCTCTAATTCTAAACTACTGACTGTCTCCAGTATAAGGAAAAAAGAGAGCAGCTTCCTCAATTGCTATAGGTAACATTTAACAGACAGTACATATTCGATGTGCCCAGCTCTGTACTAAGCACTTTGCACAGGGGGAAAGAGAGCAGGACAGGGCTTATAGGAATTCACCTTTTGAGAAATGATATGATACCATTATTACACAGACCAAGTGTTTCCCAAATGCTTCTATTATCCATACAGAAGGGGTTGGGGGAGAGAGAACACAGTGCTTATGTCAGGAGGGGTCAAGAAAAAAATGGAAATAAATTCTTCATGCTCTAGGCAGAGCAACTAATAAAATGTCTGAACTATAAACAGAAGTCTAATACTTGTGACCAAATTATTATTGACACTTTAAGAAACAAGCCTCAGTAAGCCTTCAGATCAATTGGATATTTGTACATTTCAAGGGAACCATTTAAAATGAATTGTAAAGAGATGCCTTTAAGAAATGTATCTAAGGGGAGGGGTGGGGAATGGGTGAAATGGATGAAGGGGAGAAGGAGACACAGGCTTCTGGTTATGGAATCAATAAGTCACAGGAATAAGAGGCACAGCATAAGGAATACAGTTAATGATACTATAATAGCTCTGTATGGGACATATGGGAGCTGCATTTGTGGTGAGCAGAGTCCAATGTGTAAGCTTGCTAAATCACTAAGCTGTATACCTGAATCTAATGTAATATTGTGTGTCAACTATACTCAACAACAACAAAAAGAATGTGGGGTGCCTGGCTGGCTCAGTCAGTAAAGCATGTGACTTGGGGTTGAGTTTGAGCCCCACACTGGGTGTAGAGATTACTTAAAAATAAAATCTTAAAAAAAAAAGAATGTATCTGATTTGATAAAAAGAATACTGCTTCTTTGACCTTACCAATAAAAGTTAGTAATGTTTCTAATATAAATTCATCATGCCCTACAGACTTAAGACTGATATATTCCTACTAGAATTTACAAATGTGTTTGAAACAAATACTTTCACTGAAAAAAGGCATAAATCTCCTCACTTTCTTCCCCACACCAAAATTGGACACAAAATTTATTTTTATGGGGAGACACGTGAAGAGAGTCCCTCTGCTTTTGTGCCCAGTGGTTCTCTTTGAACACTGGGGTACTGTATTTATAAAAACACAGAATTTTCCAGCTGATAGAAATACTTGGAGAGCAAGTCAACACCTTCATTAAACTTCAGAGATAGAAAACCTTACACTGCCAAGCGACTACAAGGTGCCACAAGGGACTGGTAAAGAACCAAGAAGCCCATACACTCAATATCTCCTGGGAGTCCTGACCCCAGCTCAGTCCCAGGTTCCTTCCACTCAACCAAATGCCAAGAAAAAAACTGAGTTTTTTCAGTCCTATATATTAAGATTTACCAGAAAAGGTGTTAGAAAGCATCATGATTTTCACTGGCTTTGATTGTTTGCCATACTACCCATATTGATTGAAAAGTACTTACTTCCAATGCATAATACACTGGTTTGTCTCTGCCAAGCTTGTAAGCCACTGTGGTCAGAAGGCCATGCTCAGAAAATACACACTGTAGGAAAGACAAAAATATTTCAGTAGCCAGGAAAATAAAAAGATAGCAGAATATTTTTTAAGGCTAAGATGACCTAGGTACAAAAATAATTCAATAAATATGTAACAATTAAAAAATAAATCTTAACAGTCAAAATTACCAGTATTAAGGACAATACATTTAAACAGTACAAAATGTTTATCCCTTGTTCCAAATTAGATTTGCATTAAGAATCTGACATGGTCCTAGCATAGATATCCCACCAGCAATCAAAATCACACAGGAAAAAATTCAAAGAACCTAAAACAGTTCTTACTAGAGCCACTTAAATTTACTAATTTTCATCATTTTTATTGAGCTCTAAATTAAACCCTAATAAAGGGTAAATAAAATCTATAGAAACAAAAGTAACTTAATAGCAAATTATGCTCAAGCATTATTTATATGAAGTTAAAGAAGACTTTCAATCGTTTAATTAGGAAAAACCAACCTTGCGGCCTGTATTACATAGTAAGAAACAGCCTGTTCCATACCTATAGTTGGGGGAAGAATGAACAGTGTGACAATTTTATTAAAAATAAATCACAAAACATCAATAATACAAGTCATTTAAACTGATGTACAATAAGTCATTATCTTAAAGTTTTAGAAAAGTTCCAAAAGTTAACAAGCATCACACACTCCTTTTGGAATAACGTTTTAAAGACTAAGTCTAGAAGAAAACGTACTTAGTGCAATCCTAAAGGAAAAATGCAAGCATGGTATTTAGTGCCTAGTCACAGCCCAGGACTGTGTTTATAAAATATCACCAAATGACAACAAATTCTATGTCCAGTCACAGTGACAGTGCTACTAACCCACGTGGAATGAAGCATTTCACTGATGGGGTAGGCTGCTTAGCTCTATCATTAGTACAATCATGAACTGAGAAACACTGCTATCTTCTGGCATGGAGGGGAGGTTAGGTCCAGTATGCGGGAAACTGGAGAAGTACCTCAGAGAGGGGAAAGCTACTGAAGGCCTCGCTTTCCTGTTCTCTCTGCAGGCTAGGCTATTCTACCAGGCGGGAGAGTCAGAGCGAGAATGGAACATGGCCGCCATGGAAGAACGGAATTTATCTTATGGCAGCCTTAAAAGTATAAGCTTTGGACTCTGCAACAAGTCTGGACATGAGTGAGGAGTTTTGACGTGTGCCAGGCAGAGAAGTAATCCAAAGTGATACCAGTAAGGGTCACAGGGAAACAGTTTTCCACTGTGAGCTATGACTGTCCCCCTTGGCTCTCTACAAACCATTCTGCCCAAGCTTGGGATTCCCTCCCCACGGGCCTTGCTGCTGTGCTCTTTGATATTCTGGCAGGTGGGAGAACAGAGGGCACTCAGTTCAGGGGCAGGCAGAAGGATCCCAGCAGAAGCCACTACCAGTAAGCACGAAGTCAGCAGGCCCCATCATGTGGGTGTGAAGCAAATAGAAACCGAGGGCAATTTTTTCTTCTAGCAAACATTTTTCCAGGCACCGCTGTTGTGAATAAGAATTAACCCAAGACATCCTATCTCTTTTCACTCTCTGCCTGTAGACAAACAGCCAACACATTCAGGGAGCATGTGATTAACGAATATCTACGTTTTTAAAGATAACAGTCAACTAACACTAGGTACAGGTAATAATACATTTATGAATGAAAACACGTAAATCACTACACCCTTTTACTTCCACAATGCTGAAAAAGCTATATATTTTATGTTAATCTCCTTTAATAAATATTCTTAAAAATGGATTACCTGTTTCATGCTTTAAAAAGTTAATTACCCGTTTCAGCGCTTTTTAAAGGAGAAATCTGTGCCAATTTAGCCCCCATATAAACACCCTGCATACCGAAGAGTGGTGTACGAATCTTAAGGTAGCAAACTGACACAGAGGCTCAAGGCATTTAATAAAAGTGAATTTTTAAGAGAGTATACTTCACAAGTCATTAATGAGCATTATAAATGTATGAAGAGACTCTTGCTACCTACGGACCACAACTCTCAAGGCAGTATACAGCCAGTTATTTTCCTCTGAAATTTTATTATTTTTTCTTCCCATACATCAAACATATATGGAGCTTTCAGCGTTTATATGGTCGACCTATCCTTTCTCAAGACTGCAGTGTGTTTGAACATCCCGGAAAGATGCCTGATTTTTCTAACCTCGGTGAAGCTGAAGGCTGCCCACTACCCCTCAGGGAGGAGTGTGAGTGGCCCCGGCCGAAGCCGTGAAGGTCAAGGCCTCCTTTAGAATACTTTATGCCTCTGGGGAGAGAGGGCATCTATCTTAGGTTCTCGTCCTTAAAAGCAAAATTAAATGTTCAAATAATCCATGTTCACTCAAGAAAAATCAGAAAATATAGAAAAGCTGAAAGAAAAATGAGAATCACCCATAATCTGTTCCTCGGCACCAAAACAGAGACAGGCTTTCCACTGAATTCTGAGCTGGCTCTCATGTGCTCCCTGCTGAGGTGTGAAGAGACTGACCAATTCTCAGTCCCACCCTCTCCAACCTCTTAGGACTTCATCTGGCCCATCACTTCTTTCTCATTCATTGTACAACTCCCATCTGGTCTCTGCTCGGACTCCAAAGAAACATTCTCTGCTCCTGTTGTAACTTAGAAGCACAAACAAAATCCCCCACACTTGGCATGATCCTGTCAACTTAACAAACTGCCTACTTGGCTCACCATTTCTGGATGGCCATTTTTGCAAAGTACATTCTGTCTCGCTGTCTCTGTTTTCTACCTGCTCACATCTCTTTTGGCCATTTGCAACCCGGCTTTCATCTTGAGCATTCTCCTAAAGCTTCATTCTGAGAAGTTACCACTGAAGGCCTGCTTTCTGTGTACAATGGTCTCTTCTCATTCTCAGCCTCCATAACCTTTCTGTAGCATTTTGCACCTCTGACCAAGCCCCCCTCTCTTAAGTGTCTCTACCCCGGATTTCCACATGAATGAATAATTGCAGTCCATTTTTATGAATTTCCCATCCCTGTGTCTCTTATTTCTCCTAACTTTTTCTTGGTAATTGTGTCTATTCCTATTGCTTCAAAAATCACCTCTAAATAAGGAAATTCAAAATCTCTACTTTCATACTGACCTCATTCCATATTTACAAATGTGTACAATACACAGCTTATCAGAACCACAAACATGTCCCAAACAGAAAGTATACTATTCAGACCTGTTCCTGATAGTGGGCTAAGCCTACACACTGGGCCGAGGTGACTAGACTCCATACCTACTTTCTGTCTCTTGTCCCTCCACAGTGCCACGAATACCCACCTACAGCCTCCCTCTCTGTCCCCATCCTTTTTAGTCCTTGTCCTTGTGACCAGGATGCCTGCATGGCATTTTTGCCTCTAGTCTTTCCACGCTTTGGAGGAGGACTTCGGTATTATTAATGAACAGTTCTAGTCACTCTGAACACCAGCTCATAAACCTTCAGAAGTGTCCCACTGCTGAACCAAGAAAAAAACTCCTCAGTCTGAAATTTAGGGCTTCACGATATGATCCTAGCCTTATTTCCTACTACCGCCCTACTTGAATGTTCTCTACATTCTCTAAACAAAGTCTTCATTTCACTCTTTGCGAATTTTTCAGCGTTCCGTGCACTCACCAATATAGCTCCTTCTTCAAAACACCTTGTTATTAACATAATCTTTTGCGATTTTTCTCCCTGTCCTTTGAAACCCAAGAGCAGTATTTCAAAGTTTCTTATGGCACGTAAGTTATGACTTCTCAGATGATTAAGTGTATATTTGTCTTCTCTCCCCTCAGGAAGAGAAATACAAGCCCAAAGAACTTATGATTTTCTATTTCCCTCCTCCAACCTGCAGCGGCTTGGCTTAAATTCACCATTCCAGGAGTTGGCTGATAACGCTTAAGCGGGAAGGGAGTCGAAAGAGAAGGAAAAGCCAACAATTTTAGTGGAAACGTCCCATGTGCTCTACACTGTGTTAGGTACTTGACAGAGAGAGAGAGAGAGAGAGAGAGAGAGAGAACCACTGATTTACTAGCACTAGCGTGCCTGGCAGAGGAGGAAAGGTGGAGGGGAAACAGCCTAGTTTTCCATTATTTCTCTTGACTCCTGGTGCAGCTGTCTGGAAGCCAGAATTCAAAGAGTATGTTTTCCAGACCCATGCTCACTCAAGCTCACTTGGTCATAACCTCAGGATACCATGACCTCCAAAGATTACATATCTCCCCTGCTCTCACACAGATGATGTCACACTCTTGTATGAGGACCGTGGACCATGCTGGGCCACAAGAACATTTCATTAAAAATGGGAAACATTCCATTATCCACAAAAGAAGAATTTAATCACTGAGGTTAACACTGATGAGAGAATTAGGAAATCCTCTAGAAAAGAATAAATGTAGATAGTCTCCCACTTGGTGGATGGGAATCCTTCCTACACAGGGTATAGTAACACAGAGAGGTTCAGAGCCCCGGCTAAGTGGAATCAGATGGATCTGGGGGCAAAGACTGCTCCTTTCACTTAACTAGCTTCACCACTCTGACATCTGTTTTCTTATCTGAAAACGCAAGAAATCTAATCACTCTTAGATATGGGGCTTGTTACAGATGCCCCAGGTCTGAGTAGTAAGGAGACAAGATTGGGAAACAAATGCACCAAACCTCTACTTCCATCATTCCTTCTACTTCTTGTCCAAGGAGAAATGCCAGATAATGAGGAGAAAGCACAATGCCAGGAAAACAGCACTGGAAATCCCACAAAAATATAACTTTACGGTTACAGTGAGAAAGTCTAGGGCAGGAATAGTATGTTGAGAAAATAGAGCTAATTTTTAATAATTTTTAATTAAAAAATATTTTTTAAAGGTCTTATTTATTTATTTGAGAGAGACAATGAGCGAAAGAGAACACGAGCTGGGTGGGGGGGGGCAGTGGGGTTTGAGGGCCAGAGGCAGAGGGAGAAACAGACCACCCCTGACGCTGAGCAGGGAGCCGATGTGGGGCTCGATCCCAGGACTCTGGGATCATGACTTGAGCTGAAGGCAGACGCTTAACCGACTGAGCCACCCAGGAACCCCCAAACATTTTTTCAAGTATTCTCTACACCCAACCTGGGGCTTGAACTCACGACCCTGAGATTATGAGTCGCATGCTCTACGGACTGAGCCAGCCAGGTGCCCCTGAAACATAATTTAAATCATGGTTCTTCCTCCCATCTGCTCTGCCCTCCTCCACTCCCCACGAGCCCCCCCCCCACCAAAACCATTAACACTTTAAACCAAAATTTAGTTTCTGGATGGAAAAGGTATTGAATTTTATAAATTAAGGTCTTTACAAGCCTTAGCATTGTGTTTACATTTATTTGAAGGAGAGAAAGAAAACTAAATGGCAAAAAACTTATTGGAACTCCTAAGCTATTGATTTTCAGCCTGGAGGAACTTCAACAGATTTTCCTCATTCAAAGCACCAAAGGGAGAAACAAACAAACAAAACACCATTGGTTTTTGGGTCTGTTTCTTAAACTCACGTATTTTTGGCTTGTCCATCCTGGAAGCACATTTGTCCCACCAATGCAGCAGACTGGTCCCCCAAACACTGAAAGCACAAGTGACAATAAAAAACACTAAGACAATGTTATTAATTTCCCTTTTAGAACAGCGATAGGATTTATTTTTACTTTCTTTCATTTATCAAGGAATGAACTATCTTGATTTTTGCATTGCTTCCATTTGTCCATTTCCCCATTTCTTAATATCCCCTACAAGATAGTAGGTATGGGAAGGAAGAGTTAGAATTTGGTCAAAAGGTTCTCAATGGCCCACACTGTGTCACCTAAGAATAAGAATCAGCCAATTTTGCCGCTTTTACCTTTTTCCCATAGTTTTGGAAGGGGCAGACTGATTAAGATAGATGAAGAAACGCCTCCCATGGAAGCGGGTAGGGCTGGGGAGGTAGCAGGGAGATGAAACTTACCCCAGATATTGGCACACCTTCCAAGGCCCCAGCTTTCTAATAAAATTTTAAAAAAGGATTATGAGTAATTACCAACTATTGTCTCTACTAACACAACTGCAACAGGAATGAACACGAATAGCAACATGCCAGAGCATATGGGCAGACAAGACAAAGCAAGTGTTTCAACTAGACATATTTCTAGAATGACAAGAAGACACATGGTATTGGAGAATGGATGTCAAACACTGGACTGGGAATCAGGAGACAAGGGGTCTACTCTTGGTTAGTTAGTGTTAAGCCACTGAGCAGGCTGCTGAAACTTCTCTATGCCTCAATTTCTTGATGTATAAAACGGAGTCCAGGTAACATGAATGCCTAGGTCTGATAGCTCTTTGTTATCGTTGCCATTAATAAGGAAAACTAACACATCCTTTAAAACAAACATATGAATAGCTATCAAACCAGCATAGAACAGCCTCATTTTGGAAGGCGGTATTTTACCATCTATCCTTCCTTACCCAAACTGCTTTCAAGAGAAGTAAGAAACCCAAGAGTGTTTGGGTACTGGGTATTACTTGTTCATAGCCGACATCATTCTTCAAGTTTAGATAAGCAAGAGTTAATTTAGGTCACGAATACTGGTTTTTATTTGGATCAAACATGGCTAGCATTCTAGGGAGAAAAACGAGATTTAAGTGGCTGTGTATTTCACCAAACTTCATTAAAAAAATACTCTAATACAAAGCAATTTGTACTGGTATTAAGGAATTAGGGGGAAGGAATGTGATCCATGAAGTAGTGTGATGTGCTAGGAACAGGGCCAAATAACAGCTTTCCACTGAGTGCCCCCTTGGTCTCCCATTTGTGATCCTCTAGGAGCTTCAGGTTCCCTATCTAGAAGAGTAAGGGAAAGAACAGAAGCTGCCTCACATGGCTCTGATGATAAGGAAGTAATAGCATACATGTGGAAACCCTGTATAGAACAGAAAACATCTTCTAGATGGTGGATATTATTTTATTTCTTTCATGCTTTCTGCTTAATTCAAGACCTTTTTTATTTACTGGATATATACTCTTAGGAAACCTGAACCTGGATAATAAGTGAAGGGTACACTTCATAAGGAACTGAAAGTGAATCCGTAGGAAACCGAGAGGCTGTCTGTCTTCATATACTTAAATATGAGAAGAAGCCTTTGCTGACACTATTGAAGGTATTATCAAACTACCAGCAGGATCTACTGATGTGCACTCAGGCACATAAAGCGCTCCTTTTCCATCACAGGGAGGGGTCTCTGGAGGATTCCTGGTAATGTCCTCTGGTGAAGCATGCAGAAAAAGTGACAGTGCATTTCCAACTAACTAGTCTGAAAGGTTGGTCAAGTATCATTTAAGATAGGTGTTTAGGACATTTAAAAACTACACCTAATTTCCCTGTTACGCCAAAGCCCAAAGCACATCACAACTGTACTTTGTCATAGGGAACATCAGAATTTCTCATTCCAGAAAACTAGTTTAGTCTTTTATTTTGAAATACCATTTTCAGTCTTATGGGAAACTTAAAAACAAACAGACATGACTGAGTTTAAAGAAAACCTAGAGCTTGTCTAGAGCTTATAGCAATTTGGAGGGTCATGGAAATTCTAGATAAATCTGCTTAGTAAATGGACTTCTGCTTGTCTAAAACTAAATGGAAATGCACTGTATCTTTTCCAAATGAATGGGTAGCATAATTGGTGGGCAACCTACTCACCAGGCTATGAGAGATTTTCTATAGTCAGCAAGGGGGAAAAAGGAGGACAGAAGCATAATATTTTAAACGCAAGAAAAAAACTAGGCCAGTAAATGCTTTTTCAACCATTCTCTAAAACTATTTCTCAAGGATATTTTTTTCTCTGACCCAAGGCAGTCTGTAGACAGCTATGAAATCATCCAAGCACTTTTATTGTAGATGAGCCGTGCTTCCCTTAAAAATTTCCATGATGCTTTAGAAGACTTTATTATAAATGAAATATTTAAGAACTCTGCTCAAGCTTTATCCAGAGCACTTGGTATTCAACTCTATTATTACTAACTCTGTAAGTAGTTTCTAATATTTGTCATGAAATGTCTAAACAATATATTTTTTTTTTTGCAATTGACCTTAGATGTATTTTTAAATTTTATCATAAATTCTAGATTTTTGTGCTCAATACCAGTTCAAATCCTCCTGGAGGTTTTCATCCCTGATGCGTAATCAGAGATACTCAGTGATGCTAATCACACTTTTTGCTGAAAGTACTTTTTCTCTCAGTTTCAGTGAAAGCAACAGTAAAATGTCCATTATGGAAACCAGTTTAATTAGCAATCACAAATCAGAAACAGACTCTTTGTTTTCAGTTTCTTTGCTAAAGTTTTGCTCAGGCTGACAAAGAATCTAATATAAAAACGTGGTTTAGCCATTAAAAGAGATTCAACAGAGAAAAAGAACACTAACATGTGAAGAGTCCTTCCTATAAATTATAAGCACACACAACTACTAAAGTTATTTCAATTAAAAGAATAAACAGGCTCAAACATTCCCATGCCACCTTCTGTAGTTAGATTATTGCATAAATACTTTAAAAGTAGAATACTCAAAGAACAGCCAATGAAAGTTTATAAAATATAAAACCAACTGGTAAGAAGGATTCTAAAATTTAAGTTATAAAACTAAACAGCACTAATTTCTTATTTTATAGACTACCAACACTTATAGAAAAGTCACAATTCTCAAACTAGAAAATGTAACACAACTGACTTTTGAATTCTGAATAGTAAAGCTTTTTTTAAAATGAAATTAATTTTTTTTTTTTTTTTTTTTTTTTACCATTAGGCCATAGATCTCAGAAGAACTCCGGACATTTGGAAGAATTTTCATCGGAATTTCAAAAAATCTGAAAAACAGTAAAATAATATTGGGTATATAACACTATTTTAAATAAATATCTAGAAACATTTATATGTATTTAAAGACAAAATTGTAAATAGCAATTAAAAAATGGATGTATTTGAGTGCAGAGTTAAATAATAAGCCAGCAGAACATAGTTGTATGTTTGGGTATTTCTCATTCTAACTTTATACAAGCCGATAAAAAATAAGAAGCACACAGAAAACAAAGTACTTTTCTAAAGAGACCTAATCTTCCTAATCAAGACAGTTAATTTGGCCTGTTCACTATATATCCAACAATAGTCTCTTCTTTGAATACACAGTATAGACTTGTATACTATAGTTGAAATATCAACAATTAAAGTTTGGTGCTCCACTAACATCTGAAAATAGTAAGATTTAGGTTATAAATAGCTAACGTATTGGGAAGTGCTTTTTAGGGCAAAACACAACTCACTCGCAGAGCTCTTTATCCCATTCCAGAGAATGAATGTTGAAAAGCATTGTCCTACTTGCATTTGTTACATCTGTACAATGGACACCTCCATTGGCCCCTCCTGTCAAACTCTAGACGGAATAAAAGGACATGTTGATTTGTACTCATTTGCTATTTATTTAATTTTATTTTTAAACAAGATTTAATTTAGTTGAGAGAGAAAGAGAAGGAGAGAGAAAGTATGTGAGTAGGGGGAGGGGCAGAAGGAGAGGGAGAGAATCCTCAAGCAGACTCCCTGCTGAGCGCAGAGCCCAATGCAGGCTCTATCTCAGGACCTTGGGACCATGATGTGAGCCAAAATCAAAAGTCAGATGCTCAACCAACTGAGGCACCCCCTAATTTGCAATTTAATTTACATGTTGTCAAGGGCCATAATCAGTAGCAGAGGACATAAAGCAGGAGAATGGAATGTGTCAATCACTTAATTTTCTAGTTTTCAGCAGTGTCTAATAGAAATACAATGCTAGCTACATGCATAATTTTAAATTTTCTAATAGCTACATTTAAAAGGTATAAAGAAGCAGGTAAAGAGTAAAACTCTTGAAATTAATTTTAGTAAATTTTGGTAAAGAGTAAAACTCTTTACTCTTGAAATTAATTTTAATAACACTATATATTTTATTTAACCCAATATATCCAAAATATCCTTTTATTTATTTATTAAAGATTTATTTTTAAAAAACTTTTAAAGTAATCTTTATACCCAACATGGGATTTGAACTTACAACCCAGAGATCAATAGTTGCATGCTCCACTGGCTGAGCCAACCAGGCACCCCCAAAATATCCTTTTAATATGAAAAAATTACTACTGAGACATCTTACCTATGTATTTATTTATTTTATTTGTAAGTAATCTCTACACCCAACGTAGGGCTTGAACTCACAACCCTCAGATCAAGAGTCGCATGTTCTACTGACTGAGCCAGCCAGGCACCCCAACATTTTACCTACTTAAGTACAGTATATATTTTACACTTACAGCATATCTTGAATCACACTAGCCATATTTGAAGTGCTCAGCCACACGTGCTTAAGTGGCCACCATATTAGACAGCAGAATTCCAGTAAACTGGTCATTAAACAAACAAAAAAAAATCAGTTTTGTCTTCATCCGTTATCTTTGGAAAAGGCAGTCTTAACTACATTTGGCAAAGTGAAATATATCAACATGTCTGCCGCTTCAGGATCTCACATGCTGTATCTCTGTGATTTAGTTTTTTGGAGTAACAATTCTCATTGGGTTGTGCCTACCCAAGCACTATCCTGAAAGCAGAGTTTTAAATTCTCCCGTGTTAATACCCTTGGGCACTGCTGCTTTCTCTTGTGTGGGAGTGATAAGAGGTAAGAAAGGAACAACAGCGGAGGAAAGGCATCCCAGCATCCGGGGAGTAGGTCCCCCACCCCGCAGCTAACTGAGCTCCCTCCTGCAGCTCACAGGTGCCACACCCTGCCTTACTCTGGTTTCAAGCAAATGACTGTCAGAACTACTGTCAGAACTATTTCAGCTGTGACAGGTATGAAAACTGCGGGCCAAGAGAGCGCCAAGCACAGGGAGGGGTGAAGAAAGTACTGCTTCCTGGTACTGGTTCTGGAAGATCTGCTCTGTGGATCTGGCAAGTGAGAATGGGGACAATATTCCTCTGAAGCTCTCTTGAATGTTGGAAAAGATAATCACATACTTACTGAAGTTAATTACAAATGAAATTATATGTGTGGGGATTTGCTTTACATTTATCCGTGGGGAGAAAGGGTATGTGAGTATAGTTGAAACAAGATCGGCCATAGTTGATTGCTGTAGCTGGCATGTTGTTGCCAAGGTTCATTGCACTAGTCCCTCTACTTTTGGGTATGTTTGAAAATGCCCATAAGAAAAATAACAGAGAACAAAAAAGAGAAAGGGGGAGAGAACATGTACTTTTAAGAAAACTCTGAGAAATGTCAAAAATGTTAGTTTCTGCTCATCTGTGTAGCTTAGGCAAAGAGATTATACATCGAAATTCTATGATTTTTTCATATTATGGCTTAATAAGAGACAGCTGTGTCATGCTGAAAGCAAATGCTAAAACTCACACAGGTGTTCTATTAGGTTAAATAGTTACTTCTTTTAAGAAATGACCACTGGAAAAGAGCATATGATAAGCAAGAGAAAAAGACTACCTAAATTACTAATTACTAATTAATTACCTAAATTACTTATTCTAAAGATAATAAATATGAAATGTAGTTTTGGTAATCACCCTCCATTTTTATTGAAATAAAGCAAGAAAAATAAGGAGGAAGTAGGCAAAAATGCCTCTTAAATGGAGGCTGAAATGTTCTGCTGTCTCAAGTGGGAAGTTTCAACTCGGGGTGCCTGGATGGCTCAGTTGGTTGAGTGACAAACTCTTTGGTTTCAGCTCAGGTCATGATCCCAGGGTTATGAGATCGAACCCACATCAGCTCTGTGCTGGGCATGGAGCCTGCTTAAGATTCTCCCTCTCCCTCGCCCTCCGCCCCACTCCCAGCTCCCGCATGTACACACACGCGCTCTCTCTCTCTCTCTCTCTCTCTCTCTCAAATAAATAAATAAATAAATAAAACCTTTTTAAAAAAGTTGGAACTCTTGGTAGAAAATAGAGAGCAGGCAAGCCAGTCTAAAAAAATTCTGAAAAACTTTCTCCATTTGTACATTATATTTAAACGTACCCAAATAAGCCATGAATCAATGGTCCCAAAAAGAGCTCTATCTTCTTCAACAGCCCTCTGAACTTTCCTCACATTGTCAAGGAGCCAACGAAGTTTCACGGCACTGAAGTAAGTGCTAAGTGGAAGGCCTGTCTTGGACTAAACACAGTTATGAAATTCAGCCAGCAAATTAAGTTACCAACTAGTCTAAAAAATAAAACACTCAACAAATCACAAAATATTCAATGGCCCTAAAGTCAACCCCATGGTATTATGGATAAAAATAATTTTCCTATCTCATGGCACAGGAAGGCATGTTCAGGAACAAAGATCAGCGTGATATGTTTGCAGTTCAAAGAGCATCCACGTTGCAAGGTAAAGAGAAAATTGACACAAAATCCTGTAATCTAGACGGTGAACACGTAGACGTTAGCTTTTGTGATGAGTATTACGTGCAGAACCTAGTCTGAAACTCTGCCTTTTCATTTTATATTTCATGAATGTGATATTTTAAACTATTAAAAATCAGAGTATATCAAACTATAACCAGAAAATTTTAGGTTTTAAAACATGTAAGACTTAATAACAATATACTTATATGTGTAAAAAATATATTATAAATATGTACATATACACATACATATTCAAATAACATAAAATAAGTGGAGAATAAAGTAGAGCTCAAGGACATGCCAGAAGAAAGCAACACTGAGTTGCTCCATATTAAGAAAGTAGTTGCCTAAAAACTCAGTGAGGACATTAAACAAAGGGAGTGTGTACTGAATAAAGGATAAATGGTAAATATAAAACACATATGGGCTTATCAATCTTCCTTGAGAATCGATCAGCTCCAACTCTTATTTTTGTTAGTATATTAAATACCAAATATATTTATAAGGGCTGATGAAAGTGGTTAAGAAGATACATACATCAAAATAATGCAACTATCTTTCCCCTCCCCTAATCCTTAGTTTCCTGATTTACCACCTACCTACAGAAAGTGATACCTTTTTCCTTCTTATCTGCTATGGGTATGTTTGGTAAGAAAATTCAAACCAAACCATTTAATACTTTACTGCACCCTGTAAGTTATGACTAACCCATGGTTTTCTAGCTTTCCTAGAAAAAAAGTAAGATCAATACTCAAAAATAATGAGAGAAAATAATTTATGGGATAATTCCTCTTTGATTTGAAGGACCAAAGGTCATCCCACAAAGGCAACAGTGAGGTAGTCGATAATATCGCATTTTAATGATTTAGGTAGCAAGTGTAAAAGTTGCCTAAAATGGCCCTGAAGAGAAAAACATGCATCACTTGAAGCAAAGTGCAGCTGGAGGTGGGGGTGAGGGTGAGGGTTATGCATGGTGACAAAGAGGAACAGAATAGGAAATGGGTAAGGGTATATTTAGGACTAGCCTGAAGTTATTTGGGGGGTGAGGGTAGGGAATGGTTTGTTAAACTGCTACAGTTAATGGGATTTGAACCCTAGTTTCAGAACCAAGAACCACTGTTTTAAGAGTCCCACTGACAAATACAAAGGGGATATGCTAAAAAAAACAGAACTTCCTTTGGATGCTAGGAGAAGTGGGCCTTGACCTTGATAAGAAAAATACTCTTTCAAAAATTCTCTCTCCCTTCATTTAACTCAAGAGAGCTCTACATATGGACTGAAATTTAGGCACTTTTTACCAGCCTCCTTCATATGAAGAAAGAGTTCAGTGAGGAGCTGGAGTGACTTTTAATTTCTCTCCCTAAGTCCAGATGCCTAAAAACTCAAAAGCATCCAGAACTTTCTTTGACAGATAGTAGAAAACAAGAGGGAGTATGGGTTTAAGCCACTGGGACACTTTATAATCCCCTCCAGCCTATCAACCTCAGAATATGAATCCTCTAATCCACCACAGGGCAAGAAGACAGAAAGGTAAATACTTGAGTTGTCCTCAACTGTCTGCAGAGAAATAGTCTATCAAACATATCAAATAACTATTGTGCAATAGGATGGAAGGCCCGAATAGTCTTTCAGGTGAAATCTCTAAACCTTTTTTAAAAACAAGTGTTCTTACAGTATACTTTTGAAGAGATCTCTTACCTTGACAAAGTTATTATTTCCTGGAATTCTTTTACTAAGATTCTCAACGGTAGACTGGGTTCTCAGATCAAGCCACACTATAGACCGAAATATAATAACATATATGAAAAACTTCATTTAAAAAATCAGATCTTAATGAAATCACTGTCAAGTATGGGAGACTGATTAGTTTCCATAAGCAATTAAAATGCTAGAGCTTTCAAAAGATTGAAATTAGAAAATTAGAAATGAAGGGGCACATTGTTAGAAAAAAGAATAAATGTATGAGGAAGAATTTAAAGCTTTTATGCAAAATTATAGACCAAGTTAGGAGAACGATACAAACCTGAGGGCATTTATTTTGTAACCTTTTTATAGAAAAAAAAAAACATGAAAAAATGTTTTGGATAAGCAGTTTCTCAGAATACATGAGTACAGAGAAAATCTTACATTGCTCGGCAGGCCAGTTGCCAAGGGCAGAACACACCGCTCAGGATCACCGTACTGGGTATAAAGCAGGTACCTTACAAAACTCGGGAGCAATTTGTGACAAAGCAGAGAACCTGGTACTATTTACTGAAGGAAAAAGTAAGATTCAGTCTCCCATGTCTGAAATGCTTATGTACATTAAACTCTTCCATTTCAAAAGCAGGCTAGAAGCCAGATTGTTAAAAGAATTGTTTAAAGGTCACCATTCTTGCTCCCTGCTGGATTATAAAAAATTTATTTTAAGAGATCAACATTATTTACACTAAGTAAGTTTTGTCCACTTTCTGATCCTCTGGTAGAAAATATTTCTGCTCTGCTTCAGGACAGAAGGCCTGAGAAAGAGAAGGTCTCACATAGTACATAAAGCAACTGCGAAAGGTAACCAATAGGTCAGCTGAGTTTTATGTGTCAGCTTTAAGTTCTGTGCTTAACTTCTATCACTTTTAATGTTAGCAGTCACTTGCTATTTTTAGGCACTGATTGTGCTCAGAGGCCTCCTGAAAAGCCTCAGCCCCGTAGTTTATTTAAAGGGCACCAGGGAAGATAAAACAGGCTTGTCTACTACACACGTGAATGCTGGCCACTTAATTGCAAAGTTTGGTTCATCCTTTAGACTATTCCTTTCTGTTCATTTAAAAACCACTTCTTGGGGCGCCTGGGTGGCTCAGTCATTAAGCGTCTGCCTTAGGCTTGGGTCATGAGGCCAGGGTCCTGGGATCGAGCCCCGCATCAGGTCCTTGCTCAGCGGGAAGCCTGCTTCTCCCTCTCCCGCTCCCCCTGCTTGTGTTCCCTCTCTCGCTGTGTCTCTCTGTCAAATAAATAAATGAAGTCTTTAAAAAAATAAAATAAAATAAAAACCAGTTCTTTTCGGTAGTGAATTTTAATCAGTTCTTTCTATTTACTTAAACTATCATTTCTCCTGAGGGCTGCCTGAGTTTGCTTTTGACAGTGGCTACTTCAGGACAATAGACTGGTTTCTGCAGGTGTGAAAAGCAGCAAGAAAAGGCTCATCACAACTGAGGGAAGAGGAGGCAGAGAGGAACACCAGGGGACTCCGTGGCCCGTAGCGCACATCTGCATTTGCTGCCCGCCACATATTCTTCTTGCTCTTGGGAACAGTATCTCAAATTCTCTTCAGGAAATTGTCCCTCCCTCATTCTCAGCCATGTGGCTTGCTGGAGATTCGATCCTACCCCCAGCTGCAGGATCATGTCCCCACCCCCATGACTGGTTCAGTAGACAGTGTGTGGTCTAATCAGCCCAACGGAGATTTGTGCTCAATCGGCCAGAGCCCCTCTCCTCAGCACCACTAGGCAGTGTGTGGCTGGGCCTGCTGCCCCCACGAAGAGAGCGAGCTGAACTGGCCACATCTGGAGCCATCCCAGAAGACTTGGGGGGAATCCAGGTCATATTGTCGAGTCTAGAGACAAACAGCATCTGAACTAAGCTATTGTTGCACTGTTGGTTCCATGAACAAAAGAATTACTTTTTTTTAAAAAAAACTTGCACTTTATTTAATTAGGGTTGAGTTTTCTATTACTTGCACTGTGACTGATACAAGCCATTAGCAGCAGCAGCATGGAGTTGGCAAGAACTCCCCTGTCCAGGGTGCCAAGGCAGTCTACTTCTCACAGAGGGGCCGTATTGCAAGACTGTGACCAAAGCAGACCTTCCTCATAGGCAACCCCAGTAGGTGTTAACAGCAGTAATTGGGAAAAGGAGAGGAATTCAAGAGAGAAGTTTTGAGTCTGTGACAGGTAGAATTAACAAACACGTCTCAATTCTCAGTGTTTCGAGCTACACCGGGCTGGGGGTTAAAAATCAATTGAGTGTGTTTTGACTACCTACTCTTAAAAAATGAAATAGGATGGATTAGAATGGAAAATAACAGAGTTCACTGAACTCAGTAAGGTAAGTACAGACTTGTGAAACTTTTTAGTTATGTGAGTTTGATGAATCATGATGGAAAATATATTTCTCATCAAGGGACATGAACAAAGGACCTGAAAGTCATTGTTCTGGGCTGTTTAATGACTCAAAGCCTCCTAGATCATGGCTTTTCTGTATTTTAATGTAAATAATCACTAGCGAGCTTAAAGATGGACCCCATTCCCTGAAATTCTAGAATACTAAGAAGGTCCAGGGAGGGAGCCCAGAAATACGCCTTTTAAATAGGTGCCTGCCTTTTAAGAAACACTGCTAGACTCCACAGCAGTGGTCCTTATCCAGAAAGCACAACCAGAATCCCCTGGAAAAATCTGAAATCACCCATTCCAAGCCCTACCTTGCAGGATTCTGGTTGCAGGTCTAGGCAAAGAAGGCCCGAGTCTTTCTACTTTTGCTATAAGCATCCCAAGTTATTCAGTATTATATACTAGAATTTGAGAAGCTATTTTCTAGGGCATGATCTTTAGGATATGCAATTTGTTCCAGTCATTTCTTCAAAAACCAAATGACAGACAAACTGATGACCAGGTGGCTCCCCTGAGTCCCAGTGGCTCTGTGACTCAATTGCTCCTGGATAGTGACCACTTACATAACTGGGCACTTCACTCCTCACTTGAGAGCTTGCAAGTATCCACAGTGGAATCCACAGAATCAACCCCTCAGCAAAGTGAGTCAAGACACCGGACGTGAAATCAGGAGACCAAAGTTCTAGGTCTTCCAAGTTTGCCACCTACAAGCTATGTGACTCAAGCAAGTCATTTTACCCCTCGTGGCTTAGATTTCCTGACTATAAAATAAGGCAGTTGGACTAGATGGTCTCCGTAGTCCCTCTCCTGCCATTATTCCATGATCACAGAAGGCTGGCAGATTCACTTTGTTTTTACAGCCCAAGAGTTTAAGGCAATTAGAATACATGGAATGGAATTAGTATAACTGCCAAGGAGAAAAATGTCAGTGGTTGATACACTACCAAACAATTCACAAACGCTCACAATTAATTGAATTAAGAACAAAAACATTAGAAAACTCATTAAAGAAGCTAAGATGGCAGAATTAGATTTGCAGGAAAAGAGACCAAAAGCCAAAGAGAAGACCCCAAGCTGGAGGACCGAGCCCCTTGCAGAGGTAATTTCCGAGAACAATCAAAAGGAGTGCCAGATCCACATCCAGCAGCGGTGGTCAATTTCCCCCATCATGTCTGAGTCGGAAGGCCGGGAAGTGAGCAGGAGCCGGAGCACCAATACCTGAGGAAGTGCCAGCAGCTGGAACTGAAGAGCCAGAGGGAACAACGGCAACTGGATCTGAAGGGCCAGGAGAGACTGGAGCGGCTGGAGCATTAGGAGAAATAATGGCAATTCATGCTAGAGGTGGCCCGATTCGAGGTCTGTGTTCTCTCGTGGACCACTGGGAAAATGGGAGACCACTTGGGCAAGTTCCCCAGAATGAACATTTTCTACGCGTGTGAGCACAGAAAGAGCAAAGGAAGAGACATGGAGTGGACAGGAAACGAAGACAGGGCAGTCTGAGGCTCTGGTTTGGTGGACTTCATCCATGTGGACAAAGGCCAGGGAAATACGTGCTTCTACTTCAGGATGACTCTTCCCTACCTTGCCACGTATCCGCGCCCTGCTTAGAGAAGTGGCTCAGCTGGTTACTGACCGCTCACCCAACCCGTGAATTGAAAAAGGCTGTGTGCTGTAGCGAGCGAGCCTTCCCTAGAAAGGGAGGCGAAGGAGCGTGCCGTGCCCCAGTCTCTGTTGCGGTAATTTACAGGAAGACGGGAAAAGGCTGGTCTGGGAAGGCATGGCCCCAAGAAAGCACTTCCCTGGTAGGGTGGCAGGAGGTGAAGCCCACCACCACAGACAGGAGAAGCATGTCCCGAGGGAACAGGGGATTGCTAAGTTCCAGAGTCATTTGGAAAAAAAAAAAGAAGGAAAACAGATGCTTGGGAGTCCAGAACACTATACAGCCTGCTTTTATAAGGCATGTCCCTTATTTAGACCTAGTAAATCTGATTTAAATGGTTCAAACCATGAAGTAAGTAAGTTTAAAAAAACCCAGTTGGATGATGCGATAAACTTTCACTTGTATTAAATAAAGTCACATCCAATGTAGGTCCATTAGATTTGGTCTGGTCTGAAAAACAAAGTTTTAAGAGTGAAGAGAAATGCGGTTACCTCAATGCCCACAAACCAGGGCCAGTTTGGTGAAGTAGTTACAGTCCAGAGGAGGAGATGATTTTGAGAATATTTAGAAATTTGTATCGTTTTTGGTTAGTCAGAACAATAGAAGGGAAAAGTACCTAAGAAAAAAAATTTTTACATTAACTAGAAATAATCGGAATTATTTTCAATGGACTAGAAGCAAAGGCAAATAATACATCTCCTCTGGGAGGGCTGACTGTGAGCAGCTACAGGGCTGGTAGGAAGGGAGGTGAAAGCGAGGCCTCAGGTTCTGGAGCACACCCTAAGCCGAGGACTGCTGACAGTTACACAAAGTGTTATCAGGTTGCTTCCTCCACAAGAGATAGAATAATAGTCAACCAGATTGCATTGCTATGTGTTATCACTTGCCAAAAGTTAAGCTATTAATTAAGCTGGGTAAGAGGTCACTTGCAAAGGAGAAGAGGCTATAATTGATGACTGTCCCTCACCTGATGACATTTTCAGAAATCACATGGGGCCAAAAGATAAACGGAGAGTTAGGGAGGGGGGTGATTTAAAACATATATATGTCCCAATGTGGGGGCCGAAAACTATTTCAGCTCTTAGGTGTATAAATGCCAGAATGCCAATGATTCACACGAGTGTGTGTGACCCAGGTAAGCTCTGCATTTCTCCTAAGAACACCCGTCATGTATAAATCAATCATTCCATCTGGCATTCCTGGATTAAAAAGAGTATCAGCCCATTCAGGACACTGGCCATGGCTAACACTTACTGAAGCCTTCTAATCTGCTAGGCACTCCAAGTACTCTACATGTATTAACTCACTCATTTTTACCTAACGCCTAAGAGGTCCACACTTTTAATTTCTCCAATTTAACTGTTGAGGGAACAGGCACAGAATGGTAGTAAGTGGAAAAGCCACGATTTGAACCCAGAGTCTGAATCCAGCATGAAACCCCTACGACGCAGGTAAGCCAGAATGTATTCCAAGTCTTAAATGGAATATAAAGAAATATTGAAGATCAGAAACCTCAAAGTTGAAATCAAAATCAGTTTCTTTTTAAATTGGGCAGAGTTGAAGAATTCATTAATTGCAAACTACACAGAATTTTTTTACCCCGGATTGAAGGAAATGTAAGACATTCAAAGAATCTTGTAATAAAGGACTTGAAATAAGGAGAAATTAAGTATATCTGGATCAAGCTGAATATTCTAGATCTTACAAAAGTAAAAAAAAAACCCTGCTCCCTTCCAAAGCAAAACAATAAAAACAAAACCACACTGTTGTTGTTTAAAGACAAGTGTGCTTCCAAGTTTTAGGTAGCTTGTCATTTACGGTTTTCTTTCATGCTGATACTCTGAAATATAATCCAGTCCCAGAAAAGGTTTAAAAAAATTGAGCTCTCCTAGAAACATCGCCAAAGGCAAGGGAAGCCAGGGCAAAAATGAACTATTGGGATTTCATCAAGATAAAAAGCTTTCGCACAGCAAAAGAAACAGTC